TATTAGAGGTATACTATCTTATAAAGCTTACTAGTAGTAATAAAAATAGGCTTCTTAGAGCTACGCTTATATACAGACTTAGTTACTAAAGCTCTATTATCTTTATTATTAGAATCTTTATTAAGCGTATACTTTTTACTATTATACTTCTTATTATTATACTTATTAGAAGAATTAGTAATATCTAAACTATTAGACTAGATAGAGAGCTTTAGATTAAAAAGAGAGCTTTTTATACTACTTATAATAATAAAAAAATATCTCTTTTTAGAAGTAGAGCTAGAGAAAGATAAAGTATTATAAACTATACTACTCTCTTAAGAAATAAAGAGCTTATCTAAGGCTTTAGTAGAAAGCTTAGAAGCGTTAGAAGAGATAGTAGTAAAATTCTTAGAAGTAGAGCTCTTAGAACTTAAAGAATCTAGAAATAGAATATTAGAATAAGTATTACTAGTAGCTAAAGAACTAGAAACTATAATAGTAACCTTAGAAGGCTACTTATAGAAATTACTAGAAAGCTTCTAAGAGAGCGTAGTAACGTTAGAATTATAGTTAGTATACTCTTTCTAGGTAGTTTTACTAGCTTACTTATTATTATACTTTTTTATTACGCTAATAGAATTAGTAAACTACTACGCTTAGTAAATTACTTTCTTTAGAACTATCTTTTAATAAAGCTTAATAGCTCTTAGAAGTAGAATCTTAAAGCGTTCTTACTTAGTATACTACTTATTAATAAAGTACTTATTCTTAGACTTAAAGCACTTAGTTTTAGTAATTACCTTAGCTTTAGAATTCTTATTACTACGCTCTAAGTTACGCTTAACTTACTTATTACGCTTATAATATAAACGCTGCTTATTTTCTATAGCTTAACTAGTAATATAATACTTATAAGTAATCTAGTTATAATACTCTTACTCTACTTTATTCTTAGCTTTAAGGTTATAAGTATACTACTTATTAGCGTACTTCTAGGTAGCGCGCTTATTATAATATAAAATATTATTAGCCTACTCTTAAGTAACTATATTACTATACTTAGTAAATAGATTAGATTTCTTAGAAGCGTAAGTTAGAGTAGTAAATAAGTTATAGGTAGAAGTAGAAGTACTTATAAAACTAGAGCTCTACTTCTTACTAGAAAAACTACGCTTAAAAGAGCTTTTAGAAATACTATAAAGCTTATTTAAGTGCTTATAATTCTCTACCTTAGAGAGAGTAGCTAAGTACTTAGAGAAGTTAGAGGTATTAGAGCTTAATAGCTTAGCCTTTAACGCGCTTATGTAACTAGAGCTTAAAAAAGTTACTTTAGAAGCGCTTATAGAGCTAGAACTAAACTACTTATTCTTAGAAGAGTAGCTATTCTTATACTTATACTTATTCTTATTTAATATAATACTATAGAGCTTAGAAATAGATATAAAGAAGTATACTTAGTTTAATTAGTATAATAGAGTATGCTACTAAAGTTAGTAAGCGTACTAATAAAAATTAGAGATACTTACTCTTATTTTAGATAAGAGGTAAAGAGCGTTTAGCTAATTAAATAATTTTTAGTAATATTATAATTAGCGCGCGTACGCTAAGTAAGCTCTTAGTGCTACGCATGCTCTAATAAGTATATAATTAGCGTTCTTAGCTATAATAAGAGAGCTTATTATAACTATGTAGCTTACTTTTATAGGCTACTTAAAAGGTATATTATAGAACGCACCTTTAGATACTTCTTAAGAGTATAGCACGTAATTATACTAGTATAGATTAAGATAAGCTCTCTAAAGCTTTACTACTTAAGAGAGCTTTCTAAGTAAGCTTATAATATAATAATTTATCTTCTATTTATTTCTATGCTTCTAGACGCAATAAACTCTTTTATATTAATTACTTTTAGATTTAACTTTCTCTTTTACTAGTTTACCTACTAGAATTATAGTACTAGAATTTCTTTATCTAAGTTCTTTTTTATACTAGAAAAGAATATACTTATACACTTTTACACTATAATAAGTAAATATAACACTTTTAAAGATATTAATCTAAAATACTATTTTATAATAGATCTCTTTAGTTATTAGATTAAAGAGGTCTTTAATATTATTATATAGAACTATTCTACTTAGAAGCTAGATTATTACTTTCTATAAGATAATTTATATTACTATAATCTACTAGTTGCACTACCTAACTAAGTCTAGCTATTATACTAAAGGTAGACTTAGCTATAAGTATAGAAGTAGATATATAGTAAATTCTTTAGAGCTATCTTATTATAGTGTACTTATACTATATCTAGACTTATTATTATACTATCTTAGAATTATTCTATAAGTAACTTTAGGTTCTATTAGTATTATTAGACTAAAGATAAATAAAATACATTTTATATATATAGATATACGCTATACTTTCTATATAATCTACTATAAGATATACTATTAGTACTACTCTATTTTTTTATATAAAACTAAAAAGGTATATTCTATAGTTTAAGTCTTACTTTACCTAAATTCTAGCGCTTAAATACTTATTCTATTTAAAAGCTTTTCTTATTTAATATATTAGAAGATAAAGGCTATAACTTATATAGTTCTCTACTAGTAGTTCTATCTAATAATATTAGTCTAATATATTATTAACGCAAATAGCACTAAAAGAACTTAGTAATTAATAAGAAGAAGGCGTATACTAGTAGAGTTAGCTTACTTACTAAATAACTTTATACTAGCTTTATTACGCTAGATTATACTATTCTAAGTAGTAGTTTTTCTATTTATAAGATAGGTAGTAGCTAAAATATAATATAGAAACTTCTTACTAATTTTATAGATATAGAAGAGTTTACGTATCTACTTAATTAGAAGTATTAACTAGAGTGTTATTAGACTATAGTGTAGAAAGTACACTAGATACTTACTAATAAGTATATATATATAAATGCTAAAAAATAATATATAGATAATAATAAATCTTAATCTCTACTCTTTTATATCTTATATCTATAAATAAGTATTATATAAATAAACTATAGTACTAAAGTAATTCTTAGCTAAATATTATTATAACTTTTATTAGTAGTTACTTAAGTACTCTTATAAACGTTACGTAGTACTTACTATTAAAACTATACTACTATCTTAGTATTAATAGTAGAAAAGCGCGTAAAATAGAATATATATCTTATACTATATATATTAAGATAAAAGACACTTTATACTACTATCTTAATAACTAATTATAGAATAAGTAGAAGGTATAGAAGAATACTACTTAAAGGCACTAGTAAATTGCAAACGCTTAATATCTAGCGCGTATATTACGCAAATATTATTAGCGAATGTATTTGCTAAGCAAACTTTGCTAGCTCTTTTCTTGCTAGATTCTTAAATAGCCTCTTTACACAATAATGCTACGCAGCTCTTACTTTAATCTAAATAATAACACAGCACTGCTTTATTATTAAGCATACCTGTTATTCTATCTATAGGTCTACTACGCAAGTTAGCTCTAAAAACTCTATTCGCTGCTACTATGCTAATAAGCTGTTCTATTACCCGCAATGCGCTGTTTAGCACAGCTTAGCTAACATCTTAAATAGGTATTAGCGGAACTATGGCATCGACACTGATGACATCACTAGTCCTAGACATTGCTTCTACGTATTTAATCCTAGCTCGCACGCGTAGCCTCGCAGCTACGAGGCAGCAAGACTAGGCTATAAGTTCGCTCAGAACGCCTTCACACTAGCGCAACGTGAGTGGAAGCAGTATCTGTACCGTGATCTGTTTCTGAAAACCTGGCGAGGGGTAAGGGTAGAGAGCTAGGTATGGATAACGTTTAGAGGGTGGGAGGTATTAGTATATGCAGAGCTAACACATCGATATCTGGTTCTGGTGGTTACACATGGTCTTGTTATGGCCCCTCAGTCTAGAGTTCATGGAGCTATCAGCTTCAAACTAGGTACTGCTGAACAATTATGGTAATTACGTTAAGAACGTGGATCTCGTTGCACATCACACACTGTATCGTGTATTCTCCATTGCCGGCGTGATGGCTGCTTCATTCGCCGCGCCGAGTGGAGCCATGTCGAATGAGGAAATGATCCGCGTGTCTCACGCGTTGCGCCTCAACGCGCTTGCGCTGCACATCTGCGCAACTGCATTCTCGAGTAAAGTCCATTCATATCCTCTTGCTCTTATTGAAATCACACGTCCGATGACGTTTTGCAGATGGAGGTACTGCCTTGCCCCATGAGGAACAGCAAAGCCGATGAGCTTCACATGGGGTCGAGAGCCATGTGGAGTGTCACTAGTCATTGTGCAGAGCACCCATGGTGAACTATACATTTCTACTCAGGATCGTTGAGCTAATATAGATCAGATGATATTCTTAGGTTCTTCTCGGCTATATCACTCGTCAACGCTACCAGAGGATGTGGCCACCGGTTTTCCCTTCAACCCGACTTCAGCGATCGACCGGACACATCCAGGACGATAGGGGATACGTTCATGTCATGAAAAGTAGCGCAGTCCGCGCAGCAAGATGTGGAAATTGTTCTTGCCTAAGAGCCCAGCTTGAGGGTGCTTTCCCCGACCACCGCGTCGTGCATGTAACGGGCGCCACGTTCCCAACTCACCACGGACTCAACAAATATTTTAAAGACTGAGCATATGCACTTCCCGTTCCCATTACTTGGGTAAATTCTCCGCATTGTCGCACCGTGCGTCACCCTCGTTTCCTTATCCCGAGTCTGCTCAATATGACTTTGGTACCAAACGGCTGCGCCAACTTCCACGTTCACTTTCACTTTGACTACAACGCTCAATCTAGGACGTCTTAGCTCAGCTAGCGTGACGTGAAATTAATTGTGTATCCGCTCGCTAGGCTGCTCTACCTTTCGTTCCCTTCTGTGCTCCTACTCCACTGTTGCGACAATACCCAGCAACGCACGTCAGCACATCAGCTTCCCACTTTACCTAAACATCTCGGCATCTTTCAACATGGCTCGTGTCAAAGTAGCACCAAAGAAGGCGTATGAAGAGCCTCGTATCGACTCAGGCGCAGCGCTCTCAGACCCTGCCGTACCCTCCGATGGACCCGCGCCGAATGGGTAAGCGTGTGTTCACAAGATACCAGACAGACCAAGCTAAGAATATCAATAGCACTCTCGTAATGCCCATCCTCCTAAAGACGGATTGGGACCTCGGTACTCCCAAGGCTCGCCTCCGTAGAAATGATCTCCAGCTGCGCCAACCGAAGGGCTTTCCCATTAAACCACTCAAGATCACACTCGACCGCGCTCGCAAAGAGGCAGCAATGAAGGCTCTAGCTAAGAATTGTGTCGATTCAGACTTTGAAGCCTACGAGGAGTTTGAAAAGGTTGGCGAGGTCAAGAAAGAAATCGAGGTTGAAGGGAAAGATGATGATGAGGAAGCGGAAGATACAGCAGATGAAGAATTAGAGGGTTCCGTGTACGACAGTGCGGACGGCAGCGCGAATGACAGCGACGATTCCTACGAGCTTCCAGCTACCAGAGTTGTCACCGAGAAGTCTGCTGCGCTTGTCGACAGTCGCGGACGGACTCGAGCAGCTACAAATCGACGCAAGGCTCAAGAGGTATCTGATGCCACCTTTCAGACGAGCGTCTAAAATGAGATGGGGAGAACGCGACAGTGGACGAGAAGGAGCGCATACGAAATGATAAGCGGGCGATGAAGAAGTCAATTTGAGGCTCGAAGTCGCGTCTTAGGAAGTTCGCTGCATTGCGCGGCAGAACACGCATGTAGGCGATGTGGCTCGGATGTATCTCGGCATGTAAGCACTGGCGGACATCTTGGATGGACTCGGCATCTTAGTAAACAATGATGTTACAGCAGGAGCAATTACCATATCAATGCGTCTTTAGTATTGTGCGATCTGTCAAAGCATTCACTGGAATGCAGTGATGAGTGTGCCTTGCAAACGCTCTGCTTGGCGCGAATAGGCCGAAATCCGGCATCAAACGCTAACCGAAAGCGGATCCCAAGGTTCGCAACCACGTGTGAGCGCGTATGCGAAACCCTGGGAGAATTCCGCTGCAGCCCCTCCATTACCCACACAGCTGCCTCCCCCAACTACTTGACGAGTGCTTCGCACCCCTTCCCGCTGTTGTCTCTTACTCACTTTTGAGCCCAACCCCACCATTCCGCCAACAACCCGTGCACACTTCAAGACCATTGCGATAGGAGCGGACGGTAGCTGTATCAGCGCGCTATCTTCTGCTTCTGTTAAAATGACCGCCGAAGCCCAGAAACTGCTTCTAAAAGAATGGGCCAAGGACACCAATCATGTCGTTGATGACAACAATTCACCCAAGGCCGAGTTCGCGCGCCTGGCAAAGGCAAAGGGATGGACCGGCGGAGATACCGAATGGTGTCATCACTGGGAAGCGTGTTTCGATGAGACATATACTTGGGGAGTTCGTCGTAAGTTCAGCTCGCTCCGCATAATGCATGTTTGATGATGTTTCCTTGATGATGCGAGGAAGTCGGAAAGGCGGTGTCCAGCAAACCATTACTAATGCATGGCATCAGACAAGTCAACAACAACCGATAGCACTGCAGTCAAGAAAGTGACTGCTCAAACTGGTGGGATCGACCTCACAGACCGCATGCGAAGTCTCTCTATTGGTTCCGATACGTCGTCTTTCTCGGTCATCTCACGTACGTCGGCGAATTCTTTCGAAAGTGTGAGGTCGATCAACAGCGACCAGTCACACGAAGCCGAAGGTCTTTCCACCAGCCCACAACCTCCACCGAACCCAGAAGTCTCGGATAGCACCGACTTACAAAACAGCGTACTGTCTCTTGATACGGTCAAGTCCCTGGAGGAAATTTCTGGGGGCGTTGAGATCCCGGACACGGCTTCAGAACACAGCGATGCTGAGTCAGAGGCTTCATCGCTAGAGTTGGACGAAAACCCAGCGTGGAGTGAATACACCAACTTCGTGCACCGCCCAGATGCGTCCTTTCAGTCAGAGTTCGAACGTTTAGCTCGCACCAAAGGTTGGGTGGGACGTATCAAACGCCAGCACCTAGTCGAGCTGCTCACTAGCGAGGTTGAGTTCTACTGGGGTGGGGACGACGTTGACAAGCTTGAATATTACCAGTTCCTATGTCAGGAGATGGGCGTCAAGCAGATCCCTTTGACTGTTACCCAGGCGAAGAACGTAAGCACATCATCTATGAGCCCACACAAAAGCATGCCACTGACAATTTATAGGCGCTTCGGCCTCTCAAAGTCAACCTTTACAGCGTTATCGACCACATGCGCAATCCGGAGATCAAGGTCATCACATACAAGACTCTCCGCGAGCTTCGTCAAAGCGTCCGCAAGAAGGGCACCTTTCCGAGGCAATGTGCTAAGGCTGGTGAAGGCTGCATGGCTGCTCTGCTGTCCAAATTGTAATTGCAATGATCTATTTGGATTTGCAAGGGTAATCAGGCATGCGTGTGGCTTCTCGCATCTAGGCATTTCATGGTACATCCGAATTTTGGGATAAGATAGTGCTTGCAGCGGTGTACGGCCGAACCAGTGTAGTTAGAGCGGCGACTGAACGTTATCAGGTCGCCGCATATTTGCCGTCTCCTTATCTAACCAATGGAAATAAACTCGAAACCTTATCGCGTTCTAGAGTAATGGTACCTTTTGTGTGGAGGCTTCTAGCGTTCTTATTATGCCAAATGCGTGACTTCACCGTTCACCAATCCTCAACGTGTCGCTTATCCTTCACCGTTAACGCAACCCGTAAGTACGCTTTTGGCAGGCGTCTTATCTCTTTTTGACAGCATAGGATAAAGCTAACCTCTGCTACCTCACAACGCAACCCGCACTCATCAAGAAAAGTCAACACGACAACGAACTACGCTCAGCATGGCGTTAGAAGTACTCGCCTCAGATTCCCAGCAGGCACTGTTCCGTACATGGGCCGCCGGCAGCGTCTTCATGCTCAACATTCACGATGCACCCAAGAGCCAGTTCCGCGTACTTGCAAAGTTGCTTAATTGGGTTGAAGGAGAGCAGACCTGGTGTACCCGTTGGGAGGAGTGCTTCGGAGAAGAATACACATCGAGGTCTCCTGGTAAGTTCGTTGCGTATGTTTATACACAGTACTAATGGCTCTTAGCTATTGACGCTTCCGCTGCTGATACCGCCTCCGATCTCAACGACGAAGACGCAACCGCTTCCGCTAGCACCGCTTCTGATGTCGTTCTTAAGGGCCTAAGCACTCTTGCTATCACCGTTGCTGATACCATCCACGAGAACCTAGCCACTACTGCTATTACACCTTCGGTTATCATCCCTGGTAGTGCAGGTACCCCTTCATCGATTCCGAACGCTGGCGGCGATGATGAAGCCGGTCTCCGCGAGGTATCTATCTGGTCCCAATTCGATGGTTTTGTGCCCAAACCTAAGGCGAGCTTCAATCGCGAGTTCTGGCGCCTCTCCAAACACATGAACTGGACTCGCGAGGAGAGTCGCAGCCATCGCATTGAGATCTTCAATGCTGATTGGGAGGCGCACATTGGTAGTGAACTGGACAACCTAGAACATTGGCAGGAGTTTTGTCGTCTTTGCAGCATGAACCCGATCCCCACTACTATTCCTGGCTGCATGGAAGTATGTTACTCTCCTCATTGTCAAAACACTCAATTACTGACACATATCCAGGTACTTGCAGAAGTCTTGGTCAACATATACGATCTGCTTGACTCACAGAGGACTGGCGCCAAAGTCAATGTCTTCGACGATTTCGACGACTTCAAAAAGTATACCCTAAAGGGTCGTACGTATCCAACCGAGAAGGCGATGGCGGATACCTTCTTGCCTATATTCCTCAAGGAGATATTGACCCAGCGCAATGAGTCGGACCATCCGCAACCTTCAACATGAGGGTAGCTAGCTAGTCACGCTGGCGTTTTGGTATGGCTTGGTGTGATGTCATGTGCGTTCAAGACGCATTGGATAGCTCTTTTCTTTCAGGAGTAAATTGGAGCGTCTCGTGTGGCTGTATAGTGCCGTGCGATGCCGAGTTTGCTCAAAGACATTTGTTACTAGGTAGTAGTCAGTAGCTGCTCACGGTAATTCAGCGCTTCTCCTTGCCTTCACTCTCCGTCGTGCATATGCTTGCATGCGGCGCAGTTGCTCCACCGTGCAGCAACCACCTGGGCACTCAATGCAATCGAAATCCATTCGATAGTGACAGCTCTGGGCCACGACCAGTATGGTCGAAATCGATAAGACAATGCATGTAGAGTATGTCAGTAGAATACTCCAGCTCGTTGCCGACGTGGCGCCAGGGATCTCGGGTCTTCCACGTCCTCAATGGTCCGATTGTCTGCTCATCTCGGTTTGCTGCAGCTTCCCATATGCACCCACGTATCGATTTAAGGAGTCCTGGGTTATTTCCACCGCCCTAGAACCTCACTTACTAGACTATCCAACATGTCCGGTCATCATACCGGCCGCGCCCGTGAGTAGACTCTTTCGAAATCTTACGCTACAAACTCTAACTGACCTGTTTAGACACCGCAGCCTCTGCGGCGAACCCAAACAGTTCGACTGCCCAGGACACAAATCAGGTCGCCGTATGGTTCCAGAAGTTTGCACCCTTCGTATACGACACAAGTGCCAGCACCAGAAGTAACTTTGATCGTCTCACCTCACAGCGCAACTGGGGTGATAAGCTTCGAAGGAAGCAGTGGACCAGTTTGCAGGCGGTCTCAGCGGCGCCAAACCATACTGACGCGGACGTTAATGCTCATACCGATACCCCAAACCAGGGCGGCGCATGGTTCCAGCAATTCGAAAATTTCGTACACGATCCAACGGTCGGAATCAGAAGCAATTTCGAGCGTCTAGCAGCACAACGCAGCTGGGGCAACAGACTGAAACAGAGGCGTTGGGCTGAATGCCAGGAGGAGGAATTCGGCTATGCATATGGAACGAATACAACAAAGCTAGAGATCTGGCAGAGGCTATGTCGTGAGGTGCACATCAGCGATCCACCAGACAGTATAACACAGTGTAGACAGGTAAGGAGAGTTGTGAGCGATACAAAGTCTGCTGCTAACCGTGGGTAGGTGCTTGGCAGCCGAGGCGTCCTGGTGAATTTGATCAACCTTATCGACCATCGTAATATCGGCGTGGAAGTGATCCGATTCCAAAACTACTCCAAGTTCCGAGCGTACACATGTCCGAAAAGGGTGTTTCCTTTGAAGAAGGCGAAGGAAGATGGTTTCATCAAGGCGTTGTTAAGGAAGTTGTGATGGAGGCCGGAGTAATCCGCGTGGGCCGTAATTGCACTTGCAAACAGAAGCAATATCAGGGGTTACAACACCAGATCCGTGCAACGGGAAAATGGGACTAAAAGATAGTTGCTTATTTGTATGAGTCAGCCGCCGCTTGGCGACACGTAAACATTGTATTTACACTTTCCAGCCGTTTCTTTTCTTGGTGTGCACAACAGTCCCAACGTCGCTCTTGGTTAGTGTAGCGCGTACTCCGGAAACCACCTGGGCACTATTGGCGACTGCCGCAGTTCCGCGCACTACTGACCCTGCAAGATGGTTCGCGGAAGTCGCGCTAGTGAGTAGCGTACATAAACAAGCAATAGCGATGTGCTCACATTGAACAGAGGGAGGCGTCTCCATTGTACCTGAAGCTGGGACAACTGCTTCTCCTTCCTCGAGCGACCGTAGCACTCCTCCTCCAAGCGACGACGGTTCCTCTGATGAAGTTCGTGACTATTTCTCGCAAGAAAAGTTTAATGGATTTGTCCCAGACCCTGAGGACGATCTCATAGCGAAACTCAGCAAGCTTTCGATCCACCAAGGTTGGTCCAAGAGCGAGGCGAAGCGTCGTCGCGCGGAGGTCGTTGACTTCGAGGTGTCTCGACACTACGGCCCTGACAAGTCGAAACTAGAAAATTGGCAGAAGCTGTGTCGTGATGTCAAGATCGAACCTGTACCGCCTTCTATAACACAGTGCAAAAAGGTTACGCTTTTTTTCCACAGTCGCATAGCTCTGCTGACGTATCCTCGTAGGCTCTTTCACGCGTCTATGTCAACATCTTCAACATCCTGGACCATCTAGACAATCCCGAGCGCTACGATGTCATTGTCTTCAAGAACTACAAGCTCTTCCGTGCATATACGCTGAAGAGCCGCATCTTCCCTCTGGATCTGGCTAAGGAGGACGGCTTTGTCAAGGCTCTGCTTCGCCCCCTCTACATGAAGAGGAAGTAGTAGCAGCATTGGCGCTTCAGGAAATTGGGATGCAATGGGTATTTGGATTGTTGGATGGAGTTCTTGGTGGCCTTGTAATGCTTCTTTCTTGACTCGTTTTCGTCTGCGTGGCGTGAGTGGGGATGTAAGCAAAGGCGCGGCTATCCGGCTGCGAGGGCGCAGGTGACCTGGACACCATCCTTGATGGGATTACACGTCCACGCAGTAGTTAGAGTCGCTGATCTAAACGATGTTGGTGTAATATGTTTGGAGACGCATGTGAAGTCAGGACTAGTAGGCGAGATGTTCGGAGGCCTTGCCCGTCACAGCCGTAGTGCAGCTTAGCGAGGCCTAAACAAAGCTCACCCCGTGGTATCCCCCGCTCTGCACAACTCACCCGTATCGTCGATCTGCTGGTATATCCCTCAAGGCAAACAACCTTCACCATGCGCTGCCGGTCGCGCTTACCCCAGGCGGCGAAGGCAATGTGGCCTTGCGCGCCCCTCCATCCCCCGTAGAAGTTGCAACGAACAACTCAGCAACCCTCGCGACCAAACACGAAGCCCAACGCATACGATGCAGCAGGAGAATGAGCGCATGAAGCTCAAAGATGGCCGGACCCTCTCCTACGCCATCTACGGCAGCCCGATGCCACAGAAGACGATAGTCTTCATGCATGGCTGCCAATCCTCGCGCTACGAAGGCAAGCTATGGCACTCGGCCTGCGCCCTACACAACGTCCGTATTATCGCGCCCGACCGTCCTGGCAGCGGCCAGTCGACCTTCCAGATCAATCGTCGCATCCTCGACTGGCCTAACGACGTGCTCGCCCTGGCAGATCACCTCAAGATCCACAACTTCTACGTACTGGGCGTATCGGGAGGCGCGCCCTATGCACTGGCTTGCGTCAAGGAGGTGTCGAGGGACCGTCTGCTGGGAGCCAGCATCGTCAGCGGTCTCTATCCAGTCAAGTTCGGCACAGCTGGCATGTTGCTGCCTTCGCGCATCGTCCTCTGGGCAGCGCCGTGGGTCAACGGGCTGACCACCACGCTGTTCGAGAGCACCATCGGTAAGCCAAGTCGCGATGACGACCCGAAAGTCCTCGAGGACATCATTGCCAAGGAGATCCGGAGCCGTCACCCCGCCGACCAAGAAGCTATCCACGACACCACCAACTGGCCCATCTACGTAGCCATGACTAGAGAATCGTTCCACCAGGGAAGCGAAGGCGCAAGCTGGGAAGCCAAATTGAGCGGCAGCGACTGGGGCTTTGAGCTTGGACATCTATACGTTGGAGAGAATGGAGTACCGCTTACCTTGTGGCATGGTCAGGACGACCAGAACTGTCCCGTCGCCATGGCTCACAAGGCCAGAGACCTGTTGCCCGGAAGCGTTTTGCACTTGAAGGGTGGTGAAGGTCCCATGAGCTATATACACCGGAATGCTGACAACATCCTGGACGATCTCATGGACGAGGCGGAGAGCGAGGAGTACATGATGGTCGGTGCTGCATAACTGCGCTGGTAGATACGATGCGGGCTCTGGACTTGGTTTCTTCTTCTTAAGTTCGTCCAACCAGGGCTTTGGTCCACATGTCAGAACCACCATCAAACCCATAGTCAACAGATCACAACTTCACATTGGTTTTTCGATGACCAGCTCAAGCAATTGACGTTACGTGATAATCGTGCGTGTGAAATTAATTTACTATGCGCCACGCGTGCAGCGCGGCCTAAGTGGTATCCAGCGAATGTAGTAAGAATGGTATCATGCAGTAAGAAAAAGATCCCGAAGCCATCAGTCGTGAGAAACAGCCCGCCCTTTTGCCGACGCCTATAATTTGCTGAAATTCCGCGTGATCATGACGACGACACCCGCAACAATCTTGAACGCAATCTTCAGTATGAACACCACGGCCTTGAACGCAAACGTCAACACAGTTATGACTGTACGTGCGACCAGCGGTAGTTTGCTTTCGTCATCAGCATTCGCTTTCTTCGCCTTCTTCTCCGATTTTGTGGCTTTCGCTTTCGTGTGCTTGTCTTGTCCGTACCACTCGCCCAACTCAATGTCCTTGTCGAAACTTCCCATCGCACTATCGCTACGAGTTGTTGTACTCTTCAGGCTAGAAGCAAACTTCTTCAGTCCTTTACCCGAGAGTGGCGGGCGCGACTTCCCACCGATGCCCTGGAAGCCCTCGACAAAAGAGTCTTTGAAGGCTTTTGCTGTGTCTTCCTTCTGGTGGTTCAGGGTGAAGCTTGGTGGTGGTGGCTCGAAGTTTTCTTGGCTTCGATTGCGTGTTTTGCGGCCGCGTGTAGCTTCCGCTACTGCGACTGCGAGAAGCGTTGATGTAAGAACATCAACCAAGAAGGGATTGCCAAAACGTGTCAGGGCACCAAGGTTGAGAATGAGAGCGTCGTTTGCGAAGTCAAGACGTGCGAGCATGGCATCATCGGCAGTAGCGTCGGTGGTCGTAGGAAGTTGGCCAACAGACATCTCAGAAGGTGTCATAGATACTGGTCTCGTGCCATCGAATCGCGGAGGTGGTGGTAGCGGAGAGAACGCGTTTGTCCGGGGGGTCGTTGGAGAGAGAACGTATGGGTTTAGCACAGTGATGCAGGCTGGCTTGCGTCCGGTACTTTGTGGTGTCATGGGCATGTTGTGCCCGTAAAACGCCGTGATGGGTCTCGTCGAAGGAGCATTGATGACAGAACAGTCACCTTCCAGGGAGATGGGGAAAGTGCCCAATGTTGGATGATGGAGCTGATATGAACCCTCCGATGGCATATGTTGCGCCCAAGGATTTGCTTGTTGTTGAGGGTTGTCCCTCGTCCAGGCAAGAGCGCAGCACTCACGTTGCGCAGTACCAGCTAGAACATCTTCAGCCAGACGCTGTGCAGCGGGCGACTGAGCGCCCGGGTCTGAAAGCGCAATACGCGAGGCAGCAGGAGAGTTAGCAGCAGCATCAAGCGCCTGAAGAGCGGCCAGCTTTGGGTATATGCTAGTAAGAAGGGTGGTATCCTCTTGCTGTTGTGGGCTAAACGCTCCATTGTCTAGTGACGGAGGCGCGATAAGATCGAGATGAGCAATAGGTAAGACTCGCGGCTGGGTGGGGTGATGTCGTTGAATGAGCAGCTCGTTCATGATGCTGGGTACTTCGTGGTTACCTGCAAGGTTTGACTGTGCTACAGAGTAAAACGGTAACGATGGCGTTGTACCAAAGGTGACCGTCGGGTTTGAGGCTGTTGCTCGATGCATTCGCAGGGTATACATCTGCACACTGGGCTGTTCTTGTCCATTAGTGGCTAGCCAGAGATTGTCAAGAAGGTTGGATGGCGTGAAGAAGGGCTTTGGTGGTGGAGGAGCTGTCGAGCCGCTCGAGCGAACGTTGTTGTGAGGAATATACGACTCGGAAGAGTAGGGTGAACGACTGATCTGGGTTCGAGGTATCTGTGTGGGCGACGCTTGGGTTGGCTGATATGGTTGACGTCCAAGAGGGACTGTGGGATCATAAACTGGGAACATTGACCGCATCGGAATCTCTTCTTGCGGTGACATGCATCTTGTAGCAGAGCTATTTGCTCGGACCAGAGTCTGAGCCTCGGAGAAAGCTGGTGAAATCGCGCGAGCAGGATCTGGGCTGGCGGTGCGTTGCTGGTCGTCGATTTGATCATGGCCATGACGTTCTTGTACACGGTAAAAGCTTTCTTGCCGTCCAAGTTGTGGGGACGCAGTTTGCTGAGGCGGTGGTTCAAAGTATGGCCGACTCGTTGTATTTGACATTGGCGTTGTCGTAGCCTGTGGACTGGGGATATGTGCTCTTGGCGGGGCCGCGATGGCCGGCGGGGGCGCCATTGGGTTGGAGGGTGATACTGGCACAGAGTTGACTTGGATGAGAAGTCCGTGGAGATCAACAGGTGTTTTGGCGCTTACGGCACTCTCTGTTGCTAATGGTTCTTGACTGGCTGGCTTTGGGTGAGGAGATGGTCGCGGACTGGGACTCGTCTGTCTTGGAGCACGAGGAGGAGGAAATAATTGGAATGCTGGTCCAGCCATAATGAGTGCTTGATATCCTACTCTTTTGATAAATGGTACCCCGAAATAACTGGCGGGACCAAACAACAGATACCGGCTGTGTAGAGAAGAGAACAAAGACTGAGAACAGCAACACCGGGAGTACGACGTCTCGGGTAATCTGGGGATAACGACTATAAGACGAGCATTCTGCGAGGCACTCCGAGCCATCGGAAGAGCCGTGGCATGCAGCCAGGGCAATAGCGGTACAAAGACGACTTCCCATGCAGGAAAACCCTCTTCTCAGCCAGGTGGTGGTCAGATGGGCCCAATCAAGATGTGTGTAAGGCTCGGCGCTACTCAGAATTGATGAGCGGCGGTTATATTTTGGGTGGTTGGCTGCTGGTTGCTGTAAGCGCCAACGCTGTTCACTCGCTACACTCCCCGCCGCACTAGCTTGCGATGTGAGAATGCCTATCTGGCGATGATTGGTAGACGGTATGTGCCTGCCCTGCGTCGGGGTAGCATATGCATGTGACAAGTGGCCAGTCCGGCGGCCCGCTGCGAGTCGTCGATCTATTTCGAGCGCTCAAAACCTTTGCCAACATGCCACTTTCGGTGTGCATCATGAATGCTGTGGGAGGGATGTCTGTTGTCGTACCTGCCCTTTGACAGCACGAAAGTCAGGGCGTGATTCTTCATTATTCTTGTAGCCGGAATTGAACTCATGAATATATTTTCATAGTGTCGCGGGCTTTGATCATGCAGCGCTGGCGGATGAAGGTCTGTTCTGGCGTAACAGCGTTTGGTGGGGATGGGGCTTGAAGCCACCAAGCTTTCGGCGGTAAGAGGGCTCGCACGCTGCAGAGTCGCGGTGCACGCAGCCGCCCTAGCACCAAGACAATTCTGGCTCAGGCATCGCACTGGCAGCTTATCGCACAATTTACCAGGACGCACACTGTGCAAGATGGCCTGATTACAAGACTTGGTCGCTGGGTAATGTGCTGAGTTACCCGAACTAAGGCCGAGCTTCCAACGGAGCTGTGGCTGTGGTGGTAAGCGTCCAAGGGCTTGGGGATCGAAAGACGATGACGGGGTCAGGTCATTCTTGTTAAGAATAGGCAGGGCAATATGCATTAGATGAAGCAATCAGCGGGTATCACGTCGCTGCAGTGGCCGGGCATGCAGCTCGCGACAACGCGCAGCGAAGATGCGGGACGCGCGCTAGGCTTATCGATAAGCGAGATGTGCAGCCGAGAAAAAGTTGGGCCTTCGTCATGGCGCACGACAGTCACGCGAAGCCAGCCATAGCCACGATGCCGTCAGAATTAGAAGAGGTAAGAAGCCAAGTACTCGAGACTTTCGGGTTCATCGTCAGCTAATACTCCGCTTCCAGCTTGTGGAATTTCTGCACCACGGCAACACGCAGATCAGGCAGACTGGTCAGACGAGCCCCTCCACCCCACCACCGAACACAGCTCACACTATGCAGCGGCCGACCACCTTGTCGGATACTCACAGGCGAACGTCTCCCTATGGAAGCGCAACCAACTAGAGCCTATTAGGGACCTGAAGCTACTCGTCAAGGACTATGCGCCCATAGCGAAGAACGCCCTGACCATCCTCATCAATGTCTCCGCCGACGCCGAGGTCCAGAAGGCGCTGGCAAAGGACGACGACTTCCTCGAGACGCTCTTATCGCGGATAACCGTATGTCAGTTCCCCCTGTATACAGCCAAGGACTGTCAAGGGCTGACTTGCTGCAGAACTCAAAAGAGCCCAACGCCAACGAGATCGCAATGCTCCTCGCCAACATGGCAAAGGACGACTCGCTACAGCGCGTCTTAGAGTTGAAGCGCGACATACCAAAAGAACTGTCCAAGTCAACGTGGGCTATGGATCAGCTCATGGACTGCTTCGTCAAGGGCGCAGAGGGCGCGTATAACAAGAACGCAGATTTTGACTACCTTTCGTACTTCTTCGCCGATCTAGCCAAGTTTCCCAAGGGTCGCGAATACCTCACCACACCGCAAGAGCACGACGATAACGTAATCCCTATCACCAAGATCCAGGTCTTCACAGACCACGCCTCGCACATCCGCCGCCTTGGCGTAGCTTCGGCGATTAAGAACGTCGCTTTCCACGTCCCTTCGCATCCCGTGCTACTATCGAATCTATCGCCCGACCCGAATCTCCCACCTCCATCTATCGGTGCAAACCTACTTCCATACATCCTTCTACCCCTCATGGGCCCAGAAGAGTACGCAGATGACGACACAGAGGGCATGCTGGATGAGCTACAACTCCTTGAGCCGGACAAGGAGCGCGAGAAGGATCACGAAATCATCAAGACTCATCTTGAGACGCTGCTTTTACTGAGTACAACGCAAGAAAGCAGAGAGGTGCTGAGGCGCGTCAAAGTCTACCCGATTGTCAGAGAGTGCCACATGCATGTCGATGACGAATCAGTCCAAGAAGCATGTGACCGTGTGGTCCAGGTCATCATGCGCAAAGAAGAAGGCGAAGAGGAGGATATACCAGACATGGCTAGTGCAGGTGGTAGCGGGAAGCTGATGGAATTGGAAAATGCCGAAGACGATGAAGACGAGAAGATTGTTGACATTGTCTAGACGGGAGATGCATATGCGACGCAATGCCAACAATATTCTCAAGTCGCAAAACCGTAGTCATGCCCTACATCCAGATAGCGTGGTAGATCTGATTGGCGGTGATACCGGGGATAACAGCCTCGCTCAAAACTATTCTCGGCTCCTCAATTATGGATCTTTGCCAAACTTGGTCGAAATAGGAAGGATCCCGTCATCGATTCTCAGTACCTCGATTCTTCTGCATCTTATCTGCTTTACTTCTACATCCTTATTTCTGTACTACGCTTCGCGCCGCTACTGCTTGTATCGTCGTTTCTTGTTGGATAGCTTATTGGAAGTATATCATGTGTGTGACGTAAGCCGAATTATGTCAACGGTCGACTTAAAAGATGGTGGGGGCCGAGGTATGGTACCAGCCACCGACAAAAGTGCAGTGCAGACAGCAGCCTCATCACCAACGGGTCGTCCACCACGAAAAGGAATAGAGCGGAATACAGGCATAATAGAGCAGGAAGAAGAGAAGCAGTCAATATGGAGAAGAATTTACACAATCTTGACGTGGACGCCGCCGAACTGTCGCTGGGATCCGGATAAACCACCGCAATTCTCTATGAGCAGTACGTCTTTATGCGAAATTTCATATCATAGTTCGGTTTGAACAAAGCCTACCTCACGATGCAGCTCCTCAGAGCTCTCCTCGATGAACACCATGCAGGATTCCAGCTGATTACCATCATCCCAGTGAACGTTCTATTCGCCTTTGCCGCGGGCTTTACAGTCGCAAACCTTTACTACAACCACCCCATCCTCAATCTACTAGCTGCAGACTTCGGCGTGCGCTATGAGCAAGTCGCACAGATTCCTACTGTCATGCAAGCTGGCTATGCCGCTGGACTACTCTTTCTGTGTCCGTTGGGAGACTTGTTGCCTCGACGACCTTTCGTATGTGGTTTAGTAGGATTCACTGCGACATTGTGGTATGTCACGTTGAAATCCGAGGCATGCTGAAAGAAGATTGCTGACAATGGAACAGGCTAGGACTATGTCTGACATCCGACCTCGGCACGTTCACGGCCATATCCTTCATCGTGGCGGTAACAACAGTGACGCCACAACTCATGCTCCCGCTCGTGGGCGACCTAGCTCCTCCATCACGCCGCGCAGCAGCCCTGTCCATCGTCGTCTCCGGCCTCATGCTCGGCGTGCTCGTTGCCCGCGTCCTCTCTGGAACGATCTCAAACTTTGTTACCTGGCGCGCAGTATACTGGATGGCGTTTGCCCTCCAGTACATCATTTTCGTCCTGCTCTGGCTCTTCATGCCAGATTACCCAGCGACCAACCCCGGCATGAATTACTTCAGAATCCTACTCGACATTGTCAAAATGCTGTTCCGCCACCCCGTTCTCGTCCAGGCATGTCTAGCAGGTCTCTTCTGCTCAGCGCCATTTACATCGTTTTGGACAACGCTGACATTCCTCCTCGCCGGCGACCCATACAACTACTCATCCCTGACAATCGGTCTCTTCGGTCTGATAGGCATAGCAGGCATGCTCATCTCCCCCATCTACGCGCGTACAGTTACCGACCGCTTCGTACCACATTTCTCCGTGCTTTTTGGCCTCACATGCTCTCTCATTGGTATATGTCTCGGCACCTATACTGGAACCTTTACGGTCGCAGGTCCCGTCCTTCAAGCCCTATTGATGGATTTCGGCAACCAGACTGCGCAGATCGCGAATCGTTCTAGCATCTACTCCGTCGAGCCTAAGCGGCGCAACGGAGTGAACACTGCTTTCATGGTTGCTACGTTTTGCGGTCAACTCATCGGTACGGCGGCCGGGAACCATATTTATGCTGCTGCGGGTTGGATTGGGAGCGGGAGTGCTAGCGTAGGTTTTATCTCCGCAGCGCTTCTTGTCATCATTGCTAGGGGTCCATGGGAAGAGAGGTGGGTTGGGTGGAGGGGTGGCTGGAGCATGATCAAGAAGGACAAGGATAGTGCTGATGGCAAGACGGCGGATAAAGAAATGCATGGGAGAAATGTGGCGAAAGATGAAGAAGTGGGCGTTCATGCTAATGAGAAGGTATTAGCGGAAGTTGCTGCAGAAGAGGGGCACGAGAGTCCGTTGAGAGACGGCGATGGCAGTGAGAAGTGTATTGAAGAAGGTGGGGTTAGAGAGTCAAAAGCATGAGTTTTGGTAGAGGATTTGAGTTTATGCCTAATGATAGTATAGCCTCAACGGCGTATCACAGAACGCTACATGCATAGAATAATCCATGTTCTGCGATTCATGTATTATGTACTGATAAACCCGAGCAAGTAGTGCCCGAGTATCTCCTCATTACTGGCCTTTGCCCTCGTCCCCTACGCTAATGCAATTTACCAAGGGACCGGCTGGATATCGCATTCGCTCTCGTGTTGACCACATGCGGTCTCAGACTACGCAGGTTTCGGTGCGTTTGACGCATTCATGAATGCGTTAATGTGCTCCTCGGAGGGCATCTTCTCCAGAGGGGTAAGCCAGCTCTTGGCCTTGTCGAAGCTAGACACCGCCTTGACGAGCTTGATGAAGACCTGCGTGTTGGTCTTGTCAACACGACCCTTGAACTTGACAATGAGATTCTGAATGTTCATGCCTTGGGGTGGCAACGATTCGTAAATCTCCTTGGCAGATGGTAGGGAAGGCCGTGATGAGGCTGCAGAGGGACTACCTGCGCGGCTGCCACTGGCTGTAGGACTGCCTGCACGGCTAGCACCAGGAGTGCCGCTCGGAGAAGCGCCAATCATGATGCGGTTTTTGTCCTTCTTGTCCTTCTTCCGCTTCTTGCCGGCGTCAGTCATCTCGCTGTCGCTACCAGACCCTGCGCCCTTGAGATTAGCAAGGGACGACTTCCGGGATCCATCAGCCAGCTTGTCATGCTTCTTCTTGTGCTTCTTGCGCGAGGACTCGTTGCCGCTAGCTTCTGAGAGGTTGGGTGAGCCTGGCCTCTTCTTGCTCTTGCTCTCGCCAGACTTGTGGTTCCCCGAGGGGGTATTGGTGCCCTTGGTAGATGCACCAGAGGGGACGTTACCAGCTTCCGGTGCCTTGCCATTCTGCTCGGCTGCCTTCTTCTCTGCCTCTTCCTTGGCCTGTTGACGCTCCGTCTCGGAGTCGGTGTCGGACTCACTTTCGGTGATGTACGGGTTCTCTGGATCGCTGTCGAGGTAGTCATATTGTTTTTCGCGTTTGACTAGGGCTTTTCGGGTGCCCTTTTCCTGGATCCTCCTCTCCTCAGCCTCCTTCCGCTCTTGTTCTTCCTTGATCGCAATGGCAAGTTCATCGGGGCGATCCCATAGAGCAGCCTGCAGTTGGTCTCGCTTGAGCTTTTCTGCGGCTTCTTTGACGTCCTGCTCTTCACCTTCAAAGAGACCATTCAGACCCTCTTCGTCGTCGGCAAAGTCTTCCTCAAGGTTAAAGTCGATGTCGTCCGCGTCAGCTTCGCGCTTAACAAATCCGGTTGCGTCGTCGTCGGGGCGCTCGCGCTTGATCCTGCCTTCGTCGTCTGCACCGCCGCCGACACGGGTACGGACTCCACTCCACATCTTCGCATTGTTCTCTGCGTTGACACGCTGCTTCTGACGCTCTTCGAGTTCGGCGAAAAACTTGGGTCCGCCGCCTCTCTCAACCTTAGCCAGGATCTTATCGAGATCATCGCCGCCAGTCTTGACCTTGCCCTTGACGTTGAACCGATACCAGCGCTCCATAGGGGCCATCTGGATTGCTGTACTGGGGTCGCCGGGGCGGGTGGTCGACAGCATGACATGTGTTTCTGACAGCTCCGACTCGTAGGTGCCGACCCACGTCTGTTTGTTCTCGAAGTCCTCCAAGTGCCATGGCAGTGTCTCCTCGTAGCGCAGAAGTTGTCGCTTCTTTGCCTCTGGAGTATCATCGGGCCGGTACTTCTGCTCCGTCTTCTTGTGGAAGGCAGGTGGCTTCTTCATGCCAGTAGGGGCGATCTTGGCTTGGTTCTCCTCGCGAACCTTGCGACGCTCCTCCTTCTGCAGCTCGATGCGCTCCCGCTCCTTCATTTCTTCCATGTCCTCCTTCGTGTCTTCCTCTTCGTACGTGGAGCCCATGCCGCTTGGAGGCGCGCGGGGATCTCGGCGGTGGAGCTTGATGGGCGTCTTGAACTGGTTGTCGTCGGTGATGTCGACGTGCGTCTTGCTCTGCAGACGCATGACATGGTGTCGCAGCTCTTTCAAGTCCTTGCGGCTTACGATAAGTGGGAAGCTGCTGGCGCCTTGAGCAATGAACTCATGTCGCAACGCGTCTTTGGACTGCGTGCCATCGCTTGCGGGCCCGGCGACGGGCTTCTTGGCCTCGTTCATTTGCGACAACGAGACCATGGGCCTCGTGATGTTCTGTAGTGGGCGGCGGGGCTTGCGCAGGACATCGGCCTGCGGACGTGGGCGACGGCGACGAACAGGCGGCTGCTGGCCATTGGCGGCGACGGGCGCAGCGGGCGCGCTGGCGGGCGGCGGGTTCCCGTTCATGTTGCCGTTCATGTCGGAGGCAGCGGTGGGATGGGGGCACGAGCGAGAGGCGATGGGCAGACGATAGTGAGGGTGGGGAGACGCAGTCACCTTTGTCCCAGGGAGTTCCTTCAACTTCGGCCTGTGTCGCGCGCGAACGTCACAGCTCCACGCTAGTGTCTTAGCGCGCCAAGCCCGTTTCCAGCGAAGGCCGTCTCCGCCTTCCCAAACAGTGCCACCACTCAGCGACTGCCCGATCCAGTTCGTCATCGCTTCCACGGTTGCTGCGCCAGGAATGAGCCACCATAGGAATCGCGCACTTCCAGCAATCCCTTGCACAAGAGCCACCGTGGACGTTTAATCCAAATCCTTCCGAGGCCTGATCGCTTTGACTAGACAAGACATTCACCCATGGTTGCCTGGTGTGAATAGTCTTCCTATAAGATCCATCAACTGGGGCCTCCAATCGCTTCCTCCCATAGTAATCGCCAGAACTGCCACGCGCCAC